TTCAAAATTTTTTTGATATATGTAGATGCTATCTGAAAAAGTTCTTCCTTTGTTAACAATATTTAAAGAAATTAAGTTTTCCGACGTCTTTTTTAATGAAGTTTGTGCCCTACTAATGTATACCTATTTTCTTCTAGTTGGGAAATGCATTCCTTAATCTTTAGAAGACAATTTTTTTTCCTTTCAGTAAACAAATTATCCCTCTGCACACCTCGAATAATTGCAAAATCTCTATGAAAAATATTATAATGTCTACTGAAATCATATTCACGTGTTCCTTTAATAGATATGCGCCACAAAAAGCACTGCATATCACCAAACGCATTTGGAATCATAAAATATTTTCTTCAATCATTTTATTTAAATGTATATCCAAGTATGTAGCATAAGAAAACTACGAGCATAGCCGCTGCCTATGTTGCTTGGTTGGTGTCAGAACAACGACTGATTTAAAAAGCGTAACAGGCTAACCTAATATTCGCGGCTTGCGTTTTAAAACGCACGCCGTCTAATTTGTTTATTTGCGTCAACCGAAATTGGCTTGCGTGCGTATACATCGCAGAGTTGCATTGCTGTCAAATATGTAAACAAACAATTTATTCAGAATTTAAAAGTACAATTGTAACGATTTAAAATGAATGTTTCAGAAGATATTGAAAATCTTGCAATTTTGTGGGCGATGTACAACAGGCGGCACCGGCGAAGTGGAAATAGAGAACTATTTAAAACTCGAGACGAATTCGGGTTCCAGGCCACTGGGTTTGAAATATTAGTTTCTAAAAATCCTGGCCTATTTTATAAATCAGTTAGGATTACTTACGATTCATTTAACGTTTTATTGCAATTGATAAGTCCATTTTAAAAAAAAAAGGTCACGGAGGCCAGCAATTGACCCCGAGCAACGTCTTTTTATCACCTTGTTGTAAGTTCATTTTTATATTTACATTGATAAAAAATGAAGACAATTTTTTTTTTAAGTTTTCTTGCACAAGGCTGCTCTTTACACAGCATTTCCGTTCAGTTCCGCATTGGCCTAGAAACGGCCAGAAACGTGAACTTGGAAACCTGCGATATGATCTGGACGCACTTATCCGAGTTTTATGTGAGTATTCCCAACGAAGAGGAGTGGAAACGAATCGCTCGCGGATTCTCAAACGATACCGGTTTGCCCAATTGTATAGGAGCATTGGACGGGAAGCACATCCGCATTGTGTGCCCTAAAAACAGCGGTTCCTTACATTTCCACTACAAAAAATACTTCAGCGTCGTAAGTCATTCTTATAATTACTAACAATGTACTTATGTATGAAGAATCTAAAACATCCAATTTTACGCCTTTTAAAAGGTTTTGTTGTCAGTTTGCGATAGCAATTACTCTTTCACATTAGTTGATGTCGGCGCTTATGGCAGCCAGAGCGATGGTGGGGTTTTTAAGAACTCTTCATTCGGCAAAAAGTTCTTTAATAATGAGTTAAATGTACCACGACCTACAAATTTGCCTTCAACTGAAACTCCTTTCCCATATTATTTGGTAGCAGATGCTGCATTTCCACTTAAACCTAATATTATGAAGCCTTTTGCAAGAGATATCACCGCGGAAAAACAACGATATAATACATATACAGGGTGTCCCAGAAGTAACGTGCCAAACTTTAGTTCAAGGTAGGTGGGGGGGGGTGAGCTCACTGATAAACAAAAAATTTTCAGGTAAAAGTGTCACCGTTTTTGAAATATTTACATTTTTTCGAATTTAAAAAAAATCGTGCCTTTTCATGTGTTTTCTTTAACTGCAACTACAAACCGGGCAATACTTAGTAAATTTTTTATGTAAAATACTTCCAGATAGTTGCCTCTCCATACTCAAATGCAATGTAGTTAAAATATATTAAGGAACCATCATAAAATTAGGACTATTTCTGGATTTTTAACTTTTTGATATTTTCTTCCCCAACTTTGACTATCTCGGGTGAAAAAAAAATGTACTGAGCTATAACTTTACATTACATAAAAAAATTGCTCATTTAATAAAGATTTCAGAAAGGTGCCACACTTACTGTTTTGAATAGAAAAAAAAAAGTTATAGCCGCTTTTGTGGGTAAAGGACTGAGACACGCTAGAATGTATTTAATAGATTTAAATTGAATTTGCTCTTGTTACCGTCAAATGACATGCTAAATAGTACAAAGGTACATAATTACTTGCTCTTGACATTATTTTATGTTACTTACCGGAATTAGTGAAAGTGGATTTTGTGAAATTGGACCCTTCGAACATTGTGTTATTAATACTATGACAGAGAACACGCAGTATACGTCGCATGAATATGCGGATATTCACCTAATTTACGGTGAAGCTTGCTGTAATGCCAGAGCTGCTCAAAGACTCTATGCAGAGCGATACCCCAATCGTCGACATCCGGGTCGAGAAGTATTCGCCCGGACCCATAGAGAAATATATGAAGGTAAGTGATTTTTACACCTTTCTTGTTTGCTTGCTTGTTAACTATAATTTTTCACTTTTTTAAGGTCGCATACCTGGAAGGCGTGGCGGCGAAACAGGACGTCCTGCAACGGTAGATGTTGAAGCTGTGTTAGAGGAAGTGGAACTAGGTCCATCGACTTCAGTGAGAATGATGGAAAGACGGACGGGAATACCAAAAACTACAGTTCACAAAGCTTTAAAAGACCATCGATTTCATCCCTACCACATTCAACGTGTTCAGGCTCTACAGGAAAGAGATTACCTGTCGAGGGTTAGATTTTGCCGTGAAATGTTGCGAATGCATGAATCAGACCCCAACTTTTTTAATAAAATAATTTGGAGCGATGAATCATCATGCAAACGTGATGGTTATTTTAATTTACATAACCTTCACAGTTGGCAGATAGACAATCCTCACGAAATGAGAGAAGATCGTTCGCAGTACCGGTACAAAATAAATTTATGGTGCGGTATTTTTAATTGTCAGATATTGGGACCTGTGGAACTGCCGCCAACGCTCAACTCTCACAGTTATTTAGAGTTCCTTCAGGAACGGCTTCCAACTCTTTTGGAAGATGTACCCTTAAACCTGCGGCGAAGACTATGGCTGCAAAATGACGGGTGCCCTGCTCACTACGGGCGTGAAGTAAGAGCTCATTTAGACGAAACTTATCCTCGCCGATGGATTGGACGATACGGGCCAATCACGTGGCCCGCTCGATCGCCAGACCTGAATCCATTAGATTTTTTCTACTGGGGCTGTCTTAAGGACAAAATTTATTCAAAAACAATTCAAAACGAAGAGCATTTGCGGGAACAAATAAATGGAGCTGCTGCTGAGATAGCCCAATTGAGTTTAAGATCTCTAAAAGCGTCTTTTCTTAAAAGGTGCCGAGCTTGTATTAGAGTAGAAGGTCGCCAATTTGAGCATATTTTATCAATAAATGAATAAATTTTCTTCAAACAACTCATGTATATCTTATTTCACGTGAACCCATCCTTCACACAAAATATTGATAGATATAGCCCTTGTTATAGACTCTAGTCCGAATTCCGGTAAGTAACACAAAATAATGTCAGGAGCAGGTAATAATGTACCTTTGTACTATTTAGCATGTCATTTGACGGTAACAAGAGCAAATTCAATTTAAATCTATTAAATACATTCTAGCGTGTCTCAGTCCTTTACCCACAAAAGCGGCTATAACTTTTTTTTTCTATTCAAAACAGTAAGTGTGGCACCTTTCTGAAATCTTTATTAAATGAGCAATTTTTTTATGTAATGTAAAGTTATAGCTCAGTACATTTTTTTTTCACCCGAGATAGTCAAAGTTGGGGAAGAAAATATCAAAAAGTTAAAAATCCAGAAATAGTCCTAATTTTATGATGGTTCCTTAATTTATTTTAACTACATTGCATTTGAGTATGGAGAGGCAACTATCTGGAAGTATTTTACATAAAAAATTTACTAAGTATTGCCCGGTTTGTAGTTGCAGTTAAAGAAAACACATGAAAAGGCACGATTTTTTTTAAATTCGAAAAAATGTAAATATTTCAAAAACGGTGACACTTTTACCTGAAAATTTTTTGTTTATCAGTGAGCTCACCCCCCCCACCTACCTTGAACTAAAGTTTGGCACGTTACTTCTGGGACACCCTGTATATCTCGAGCACGTATACGCATTGAAATTGCTTTTGGTAATCAAACATATGCAAATATAGGGAAATGTTTAGTTATTTGTACAACGATTTTGGGATAGGGTGTGAAGGGGGAGGGGCCGTGGCCCCCAAACCCCCTCTATACAAAAGACGATGGACCGCGCTTTATGAAAGGCACACCTTTCCTCCTCATCCCCCAAGGGGATCAAGGGGTCTCTTGACAGCTGTTTGAAAATAGGAGAAATTTGGATTTTAACCGATTATAACCGAAATTATTAATAAATTAGTGCACAGATATAGTAAATTATTATTTTTTAAATAAACAAGTTCGTGTAAAAGTTTTTTGATTCGGATCACGCGTTTGGGCCCAGAAACCCAAATTCGTTGCACAAATAACTAAACAGCACCCCAAATATAATTTACTTGATATATGTGCGCATGTATAACAGACTTCCAAATTTTCTAGGTATTCTAACAACAAAGTGTAGAATTTTTCATAAACCCATACACTTCATGCCACACAATGCTAAGAAGGTAGAAAACATATATTGGAAGCCATCACTTTTTAACATTTTCTTCCCTAGGTTATACTAGCTGCAATTGTTCTACATAATTTTTTACGCCTACAAACTTCTAACGAGGAATGTGAAAACGAATCGTTTGCAAATTTGAGAAGCGTTGATCGCAATAATTTGCAAACTGCAAACGCCGCAACTCAACAAGCATTGCAAAACAGAACACTACTATGCGAATTCCTTAACATGACTTCACTGACACCTTCTAGCACAAACGCACAAATAAATGAACAATTATTTTAGCTCACTTTTTTATTTATTTTTTATTTTTTGTGAAAATAGTACCAAAATTTCTGCCTGCAGTTCGTCTACCTCTTCTGCAGACAAACGGCTAAACTTTGCTCGCAGCAAAGTAAAAAAACTGTCCTCGTCTGAGGTATTTGCTGATTCGCCATCATACTTGCTTTTCATGCGTACCAATACGTCCTCAAACAAGTCGTCCATCTTACGCTTCTTGGCCGCATCTCGCTGCGGTGTTTGGGCCTCTTCGGTCTCTTCTGTTTCTTCTGAATAGTCAACGTTGGATGTTGTACTGAAAATGAACAATAAAAAGCAATATAAATACATGCTAATTGTTTATGCGACATTAATTCGCACTGGGCTTACCATTCCGCTTCCACCGAGTCGTTTAAGAACGACATAGCGTCCTTCAGCTTCCATGGCTTACGAAAGCTGCTGCCACTGCCAGAGGGATTAGCGCCTTCCACAATTTCCCTTCTGTTGCGGTCGCATAAGGAACGCCACCTCGTCTTACAATTGTAGGCTGCAAAAATAAAGTGCTTATTAACACATTTCCTTGTACATACACATATATATATATATATATATATATATAAGTCAACGATAAAATAACTTACGAGTATTTTCCAATAGTACGGCTATTTCGACCCAAGCGGCTTCCTTAAGCACCTTATTTTTGTATGCTTTGTGCTTCTTTAAATAAAGGCACTCATGCTCACGCACAGCTTCAATTAATTTCTCGTTGCAAATCTGTAAAAAGAAAAGAAATGAAGGTTTTATTTCCATAAAATGTAAAGAAATTTACTTAACATTTATACTTGCCTCCATATCACCAATCAAGTCAAACGTCAAATGAGAAAAAACTAGAGCTGGAATACTATCGATAGTTGAAAACTGTCAATGTCAGTTTTTATCGAAACCCAATACATATCTCTTATTACAAACCTTCATGGCTCGAGGCTAAACGGATTTGTAAGTAAAAGTAAAATTTTAAATATTTATACATTACAGAAAATCCCAATTTTTTTAGGTAAATTTATATCTCAAAAACTATTGAACAGATTTATAAAAATTTATGTTTTTGGTAAAAAATTACGTAATTACGAGATATATTTCATATTTATATATCAGAAAGACCACAAAAACACCTTTAATTTTGTATATGATTTGTAAGAAAAAATTCTTCTGCGCATAATAATTCTGTTGACCACAAAACCAAACGTGAACGTGAATTGCTGGCGAAAACGTTGGACCAAATATTTCAATAAAAAAGTTAGTTTTGGGCGGGACGAAGTTCACCGGGTCTGCTAGTACATACATATATATATATGTATGCCATTTACAAAGTAATTTATAAATTTTTTATCAATTTTCAAACAATTGAGCGTCCAATTCAATACTGCTAAATAACGATAGTACTATGGATATTATTGATTTTTTCAACTATCGTTTCTAAAACTATCGAGTGCCGGTACTATCAATAGAATCCCAGCTCTAGAACAAATGTCAAATGAGAACAGACGTCAAATGAGATCAAACGTCAAACAGAAAAGTCACGCAAATGAAAAATTGGAAATTGAGTTAGCTTTTAGCGCACGCCGTTCAATTTCGGTTGGTCCCATACAAGTTGTATGTGCATGAGAAATTTTTGACAGTAAATTGGCGGCGTGCGTGAATATTAGGTTAGCCTGTAAAGGCCGGTCCACATAGAACTTTGGCGTTGCGTTGGCGTTGGCGTCGCTTAAACAGCTGACTATGAGTCAGGAATGATAAATGAGTTTTTAATTTTTGAACCAAATGGACAAAAAGAATGTACTAAATCACCCGAAAAAGTACCAAAATTTAAAAGACCATACATGCATATGTATATGGTAATTTCGAAACAAAGTCTACATGGCAGGTATTTTTTATATCTCTTTTTAGATTGATAATTCTATCCTCTCGTTTACTGACGTGAATACGAAACTGCTTTCAGGCTCTTCAAAAATTAATTTTGGTTCTTATTTTTGCATTTTTGTAAAATATTTTCCATAATGTAACATTTGCATATCACTTTAAAAATCATTTATCAGATAAGCTAATGTTGAAGTTTCTTCCACCTTCTTCATTACATTAGCATGACGTTTTTCTTGGGAGACGGGCTTTTTGTTTAATCTTTCTTCGACAACAACTTCCCATATATGCCATTTAAACACTTTTGGAGAAACAAGCGATTTAAATAAAAAATCTTTTTCCACCTAAAAGTGACATTCTGGAAATATTTCACATTGTTTGTTTTGAAACCCCTGAAGCAATAAATAGACATTGGTAATTATCTGTTTATTGCCTTGTACTCTTCAGAAACAAACTTTAGCAAATCATAGTAGAAAGCATAGCGAATTTAGTAAGAACTTCGTACTGCTTAAGAAATTTTGGATCAATAAATTTTTCTTGACCATTTCAAACGAAAGAAATGTTTACAAATAATAACATAAAAACAGGTTTGGTGTTTATTAACACGTAACTTCAATTGCATTTCTGCTTGGATACAAAAATTTTAAACCAATGCACAGTGGTACCGCTCTCGAAGGAAGGCGGTCATAGAGGTTTTTTGACCGATAAATCCGCGGGTTTTTGTCTCGTTGTTTTGGAAAAAATCCCTTTGATGACAAAGTGCATAGAAATGTGATTTTTTTTTTTTTATTTATGTGAAGTCAAATTACTACTAGATCGTACAAACAATGCATACAAAAGTAACATAGTTTTAAGTGCATAATAAATCTAATACCTCTTTTGATAGCTCAGACTTGGATTTTCGCGGTAATTTTCGAAGGCTAGATATGTAAGGATCAGAATTAAGAAGTAATCTGTGTAAAAGGTCAGTGTTGGTGAAATCACTAGAATTTTTTCTAGTGTTGAAACGTCGAAATTGCCTCACTAGCTTATTGCATGATTCGGCAGCTTCTTCGGAGAGCTCACCAATTGGCAAGATTGCGAAATCAATCACCTCGGACCCATGGATTAATACCTTATGAACAGATCGTGGTAAATTATACTACGGATATGCCCCAACTAGGTTTTTCGCAACTTCAAATCCATAAATTTAAAATTTTTTAGTTTCTATTGTATAACCCGACGAGAGGCACTGCAGGATGTGGTAACACTTGTCAATAAGAGCCTTATCTATTCCAGTAATTTCTGCTGAAATAGCAGAGTTTCGGAAAAATTTTCGAGCGGTATTGCCATCGTTGGATGTGCCGCTGCCACCGCTTCGGGGCTTGTCCACAACCAAACCTAAACGATCCATAAACTGCTGCTGCACGGTTTTCTTTCTTTGCGCTACCCTGCAAAAATCGTTGGATCATGTAGTCTATTTGTGGTAAATTGGAGTACTTACAAAAGTGTTCCTCTGTCATGCTGTAGCGGACCAACTGGTGTCTCTGCGCTAGCTTATTGTTTGTTATCCGATCACTGCTCGTGTTTTAACGAAACGTGATTGAAGTTGAGATTTGAAAGCACATTTGCATGTCTGGCTGTAGCTGAACGTGTAGAGATGCTCGCTGTTAGTTCTTAGCTCCCAGCATGTTCGGGTTCGAATACCGTCAGAGGCAACATATAATTTTTAATTTTTGTCTTGGTTTTTATAATTTCGAAAAAGTATTTGAGAAGTGAAGAACACAAACGTGTACAAACGAAAAAATATAGCACCAATGCCATTGTTATTATGTTGGAGTAGTTTTGTGCTACTCTGATGTAATGCGGGGATGGAGTATATGGTCCTGCCCTAGGACATCGCAATGTTAATTGGACCATATTTTTTATATGAATTGTGGTTAATTTTGGAGTACTCCTTGGTCCTTAGGGAGTACTCTTTACACGCATGCATGGAGTAGTCGCGATTTTTGCAGGGTACAAGAGCCTTATCTTCGTCTGAGCGACATTGCCATTTTTATACCTTTCATGAGCATGAAATGGTATTATAACTTTGGTCCGATGTTTGTAAGTACCAGAATAAAAAGAGATAGACCCATTAAAATGTATATTTATATGATCAGAATGTCGAGCTGAGTCGATTTAGCCATGTCCGTCTGTCTGTCTGTCCGTCTGTTTGTATGCAATCTAGTCTCTCAGTTTTCGAGATATCCTGATGAAATTTGGTAAGTGGGTGTATTTTTATATTGTATTAATCATTTGTTGGAACCACTATAACATATAGCTCCCATACAACTGATTGTTCAGATATGAGACTTTTCGTTATAACTCCTCCATTTATGCAGCTAGGAACATGAAATATTGTAGTACTTGCACCCATTATCAACAGAATACTTACAGTGAAAATTACAATTGTTCAGATATACGATTTTTCGTTATAACTCCCCCATTTATGTAGCTAGGAAAATGAAATTTAGCACGGTTTTCACTAATTATCAACAGAATACTCCAGTGAAAATAACAAAGATCGGATCTCTATAACCTGTAGCCCCCATACAACTGATTGTTCAGATATGAGGCCTTTCATCATAGCTCCTCTATTTATGCAGCTACGAACATGAAATTTCGCACCGTTCTCACTCATTGCTAACAGAATACTTGCAGTGAAAATTACAAAGATCGGGTGACTATAACATATATCTCCCATACAACTGATTGCTCAGATGTGAGAATTTTCGTTATAACTCCTCCATTTATGCAGCTGGAAATATGAAATTTCGCACTATTTCTACCCATTATCAAAAGAATGCAGTGAAAATGGTGAAGATTTGGTCGCTATAACCTATAGCCTCCATACAACTGATTGTTCAGATATGAGATTTTTTGTTATAAATTATCCATTTATGCAGCTAGAAACATTAATTTCGCCCTATTTTCACTCATTATCAATAGAAAGTTTATAGTAAAATGAACAAAGATCCGGTCGCTATAACCTATTTATTGCCTCCATACCACGGATTGTTCAGATATCAGTTTTTCGATATATCTCCTTTATGTTGGAAGCTAAACCCATTAAATTGTGTTACCGAGGTGTTACCGAAGACAGCGCTGCTCTTACTTGTTTAAAATTAATTTTGTAACGTGGATAAAATATTCAATTACAACCGAATCCACGAATAAGGTGGCGACAAGCCAAACTCATATTTGGAGATATCTGCTGGTTTGCTTATAGATCGTTCAATGTCGTTCATCTCATTTGGTGTTGCTCCACAAATGTAACATCTATGGTAGATAAGTCGCTAAGAGCAGAACAGATTTTTCCGTCAACCATTGATAGATGCAAAGAATGCTCCACAACTACTTCGCGATTATGGAAAAGTAAATAAGTCGGTTGTAAATTATTAATTTTATCTTTAAAATAAGCTTTTTCTTGCACGGAAACTTCTTTTGTTTCTTTGGCAAATTTGAACCGAATTGGTCTACAAAACCTAGTAGAGGATGCCATCAAAACCCCACTTACCAATTAGAACAAAATCATTATTTGCATCTACAACACCATCTTTCACGCTCTTTTGGGATTCAAAAATTCGAGAAGTAGAGTGGTCTGTAAATTAATTTCGGCAGAGCATTCTGTAACTTCTAATGGATAACATCGTGTATTAACTCTTTTACAAGCAAGTACTGGTGTTTTGTCAATTTAGCCTCCGTAATTAGTGATACCATTTCGTCAGCGCTGAATTGTACAGAAGAGGTGCTTGATTGGGCGGAATCATTAATTATCGCAGTGACAGCAGAAGTATCGACCTTTGATAGTTGAGCTAATCTGCGGCACTTAGATCTCTTACTGCAGTCAGCAAATGGTTTTCTATGCAATTGCTTGCTTGTAGATGGGAAATCTTCATTACCGGTCTTTGCAAATGTAAAAAGAGT